TAAATTGACTAATGCTCATAACTGTCGACATCACTTTCGTATAATGCTCTACAAGTAAGAATCATACGCAATTTTATGAATCCTATGTTATATTGGATTTGACATAAGGGAGTCATTGACCCTTGGCCTATGCTCGTTATGATCATACCATTTTTCACATCCTTCAAATAAATAAACATCTGATAGAAATGAAGCTTGTGATTTAAGAGAGAGGTCTAAAATCGGGCGTTCGAATCCCGGCTTCTTCATTAAATAATAACGTTGTGAGGAAATGTGGCGTGTGTCTGGCTAAGATGCAAAGAGAAAATTAACAATTAAATACGCAGTAATGAATCCATTACTCCTTAGAAGGACTACAACAGCTTTTAAACTGAAATTTAACGTTTATAGGTGATTCTGTTGCAATAAATTTCTTTTCTCTTAATTCATTTTTGTTATAATCACAATGTTAGAAGATAAAATCTTGAAGATGTACGGTTAGAACTAGGTTTTAATTTGTCAGTATTATCTTATAGACATTCACGGTAAATTAACATTAATGTAGTGTAAATAATTGTATGGGAAGTCGGAAAGAAATGTCTTTTAATGTTGTTTATGGAAAATAATTATATTGCCAACGCAGATAGTGTACATTGTATTTCATAAAAATGAGTAACATTTTTTATTCCTTTACAAAGTAATTTTTATCAGGTATTTGCAGTCTCTATTGTAGAGAACGGAACCTATGAGTTCCTAAGTAATCGTTGCCTTTGTAAATAATATTGTCTGTTTGAAGTCTGTGTATTACTTGGGGCATCCCGGAACGGCCCCATTCCTGCGTCTGTTGTTTAATTTTTAAGACCCGATTTGATTATTGTGTCACCGGAAATGAAACCCAGGACTACCAATTAGTCACGGAAGTTATAGCATGGCTATACAAATAATAGGAATTGTCTCTTCAAATCAGAAAAAAATTCAGACATAATGCATGAAACTAATGTGTAATTCAAATATAGGTTTTTTCTTTCAAAACAATTTGTCTCCCCTAAATGCAAATCCTTCATCGAATAAACGGTCTTTTAAGATAAGATCGGGAAGTTTTGTCAATATTAATATCTTAAAACACTTGAAGACGGTAAAAAAGGTTTAAGAAACAAAGTGAAAAGATTTATGTAGCTTCCAATCAATTAAACACGATACAAGAAAGATAAACTGTAACTGTCGTATTCATGATAAAGAGAATGTTGGGCGTGATTTCCATATCAGATTTATCAAGTCGGTGTACACTGGCGAGCATATAGGAATGCGAATGATGCATTTTCATATATCTTTTTGCTAGAAATCGTATGAAATAATCTCTATAAAGAATGATCATGGAAGACAAGACAAAAAGTATCTATTTCATAATTAATTAGTTAAAATAAATAGTGCGCGACTCCTATACTTTCTATCTCAAAAGAATCGAACTTTTTTTAAAGAGATGGAAATGGGCATTCCTCATTTCGGTGTAGCTAGTAAGCAGGGGTTAGTGAGACCTATCGCGTACTACGACTGCATTGCTTTTTGCGTTTACATTTTAGCGGGATGACATCTTTGAGAGGTATTGAAAATAGCAAGCCCCAATTTGAGCCGGCCTAAAAGTATAGTTTTTAACTATTTTTTTATGTAATAGGAGGCAAACGGGCAAGAGGTTCATCTGATGTTAAGTGATACTGCCGCCCATGGATGACGGCCTTTCAAGAAATGGTACGTTTTTTTCTTGAAGGACTCTAAGTCGAATTGGTTCAGAAATACTTCAGTAGGCAGCTCGTTCCACATAGTGGTGGTGCTTAGCCTTAGAAGTGTAATTTTTCTAAAGGCTTTTTAATTTCATTTTTCCTGCTTGACAATCTATTGACCCATACTGTAACTGAGTGGGATAGACGATGTGATGACACGATTTCATTCTTCGAATGTTGACCTAATTTCAGTTGCCAATTGGTAGTTTTCAAAATAAAAATGAATCAAAAGCTCTCGAAAATTTTAGAACCTAGATGTAGTCAATTGAAAATTGCAAAAACGTTTCAGCATGAAGCGTAATTTTGAAAATAAATATGTATGGTTTTGATGAGCTTTGCAATGAATCTCTTATTAATGAAGTTATAGGGATTAGAAGTTGCTCTAAATACTCAAATAATATTTTCTCTTTTCATATGATATATATATATATATATATATATATATATGTCGCATGCTAATTACTAAACTAATACTTCTGTTATGGTATTAATAATAATAAAAAATGAAGCTAGTCACGAGAATCAGCGTTTATTATTTTGCAGCAGCAATGTGCCCAAGACTTAACTCTTTAAAATGCGAAAGTCCATACTTTATGCAGACCAGTGGAGAACAAAAAATATATTTCGAATCGTTTTAATTCTTGTTATACAATTGCATTAACCATTTTTTTGTTTTCTTGATATATACTTGCAAATAATTTCAATAATTGTTCTAAGTCAAGTTGAGTAATCCTTAATTAAAATAAGTACAGTGTTTCTCATTTGCCGTGCACACCACAATATGTAAAGCGGTTCTTCAAACAACAATAAAAACAAAGTTGTATGTATTAGAATTGCTAGATTTTCCATAAAGTATAATTAATTGTCATTCCACTGACAACGCAGATAATTAAATTAATAAGAGTATTGATAAATCCTATTAATCTGACTTTGCTATCTTAATTAGTGGCAACATCGCAAACCTTCAAGAATGTTGTCACTATATTAATTCAATAAATTAAATCGATTGTTTCCAAAAATTAATATGACGTTATACAAAAAAGTTTTAGCTTGCATAATATTTGCATTATCGCCGTAACTTTAAGTGTTCTTGATTTTGGTTGCCCTTAGTTTTGGCTCAAATATGTCCAAGTAATAAAAGTAATTATATGGCGTGAAATGATTTTAATTATTAAATCCTAAAAGCTGTAATAGAGCAATCATAGAAATAAATATATAATTATTTCGAAGAATAATTATATCTACCTAAACAAAATATTTTTTTTATACTGGAACTATTAACTCATTATATTATGTCAAATTGTTAACGATTCGAATTTTCAATTAACATACGAAAAGTATAATAAGTAATAGCAAACTTAATAGTTCTACATTTGAAGTGAACATAGTTTACATTTTTTTTAAATTATAATCCTAGAAATATTCCTTTAAGGAAAATTATGCATAACTCGAATTAAAAGAGACATGCTTTAATGGTAAATTTTATCATTAAACACATTCTTTCCTATTGCAGAAAAAGGTTTTTACGGAAAACCGACGTTATGTTTTCGCATTTTTTACACCGTAAATAAAAATATCACGATAAAAAAATATGATTTAGACGATATAACTTAGGAAGGCTATTTACATTGTTACAACGACAATTTTAATTGTATGTGTTTGTTTCTTACAGATAACTTTTAACTTTTATCTTCTAGACACCAATGTTTACATATTGATAAATATAATATTTAATTTAAATATATTGAATGAGACGGAAATTTATTTTTATATTGGATTAAATAACTACCGCATTGTCATGCGCAATGTAAAAACAGCTGATCTAACCTTTGACGGTGCGGTGTCTGGCTGCATATAATAGAACATAAAAAACATCCAGGCAGCGCCCAGAAGAGAAAGGATTTTCAGGTTTCGCCTCATTTTTAGCACAACACAAAAACACAGAAGAACGACGCGGCGTGCGCGCGAACGCGCTTCGAGCGGGGTACTGAAGTTGTGCCTTCTATGACATGCGCCGTATCAGTTTAAAAATGGAATTGCATGGGTGCATCATGATAAGATATCCGAGGAAAGGATGCTGCTGTAGCACTTGTGTTACATATTATGCAAGTTAGACTTACTCACGACAACTTCGTAGAGGTGTGCTACAAAAATTACAGCTACGTCAAACAGTACTAAGAATTTTAAAAGCAATATATACGTAGTTTCAAAAGTTACCACTTAAAAGTTCATACCTACGTATAGGTATGTTATCGTATATGAAAACAAGATGCAGGCTATTTAAACAATATTTTTACTTTTAAAAATATCTTATTGTATATGAATCTTAACTTTTTTATTTTTATTTGTTATATATAATTATTAAAAACTAAATTCAATTTTTTTTCTTAGTTCATGAGCAGTAATATTTTATGATTTATGATGTGACGATTAATATATCACAATATAAATCAGAAAACAGCGCAAAAGTTCCATCTCACGAAATTATTTAAAATTACCTTTAAAGGCGATAACCTTAATAAGGCACCTCTTTTTAGCAGTTCCAAATTGACAACCTAGGTGACGCTGAATTAAATAAAAAAATAATTACTTTTTTCTCTTAAATTAACAATTACTTTAGTTTTAATCTAAATCAGTAATAATTATACAAGCTTCATCTTACGAAATAATTTAAAACTATCTTTAATAAGGAACCTTTTGATGTAGGAGTTCTTACTTGGCAACCTAGATGGCGCTGATATTTTATTTGATAATTAACCTGTTTGAACAGCAAACAGATAATTATGATTAAAGTCATAAATTTATAAATATAATTGTAATCATCATTATTATAAATTATAATTACTATTAATTATACACATTTTACTTTATGAAAGTTGACATTCACTTGTTTTTTTACGTGCAGAAATTTTCAGTCATCATTTCTTTCTATGCGCGCAATTAATATTTGCTCGTACGGTAAATTAAAATATCGCAATGAAACCGTCATATTTTAGACCCACGGAAAACCTTACTTAGAACCTATTAAGACAATAAGATCATGGAACAGATCTAAAAATCTAAGTGTTTTTAATTGTTAGGAATCAGCGTCCTATTGTGACAGTAACTATTTCATCATATTAAAGTTTTTAAGAACTTTTTTCTTTAAGAACTCCGAAGTTGTAATTAGGTAACATATAAATAGTAACTTCGTTTCTTAGTCTACGTCTCTCAACTATAACAATGAAAGCATATTTACTGAGATTACTTTGTTGCCCTTGTCTTTACCCTGGACCGGGCAGAGTTTAGAGCTTTGCATTTTAACTCAGTCCACATCTTTTGGTCGTCTCTTTTGGTCGGTTTCATCGTCTCTATCTCTGCAGTACGTCGAGCCCTGAGGATGAGGTCACCCTGCATGCCAACGATGTCAGGACCGTAGTATGTGGAGATCCGAGGTCTCTGCGTAACCTTCGGAAACCTTTTATCCAATTTTTCCAACCTTTGTTTGGGTATAGATCGATAAATACATAGATCTTTGCTGTATGTTGCCATATTGTGTTTGAGACAGCCACGTCTTTTCACTTTTAATTAATTATATCAAATTGAAAAATTTGCAGTTTACATTTTCAATTATATAATGGGCAATTTAAGTTTGATGTAAATTCACATATGAATTCAATATTCGTGTTAATTATTTAAATTAACCAGTTAAGTTTGTTTGCTTTTAATAAGTGAAAAAACGCACGCCATTCGACATTCTTACATTATAAATTTTAAACAGCTCTTTAAGCGAAGAAAAATTTTAGGTAACAAAACAATGGTATATTTCATATTGCATTTATTTTTTAAATTAAATGTTTAGAGCACGAATATTACATAAATTCGTGAGGAGTTAAACGAATTAAAAATTACTATTGATCTAAGAATAATAACTAAAGCAATATTTTACAGTTTTTTCTATAGATTAAATGATACCGCCCATGGACTCTGTCTAATAGCTCACAAGTGCGGCCTCTTATGAAACGGTACGGTTTTGTTGTAGGATCCTAAGTTGAATTGGTACTGAAATACATCGAGAAGCAGCTGGTCTGCGACAAGAAATACCTTAAAAAGCTCAATTTAGTACATATGCAGTAAATCTACAGAATGTGTGGAAGAACTGGTCCATTTAGTTTTGTAGCTTAGAATTCAAAGTTCTCAGTCAGTAATACTGACTCAGTATTCAGTTCAGAGTTCGCGCGCTTTTCGTTCAGGGCAGACGTGCATCCAAACTTTCTCGTTTGTGTTTACGTGTTTCGATGTTTTCGCGCTATATTTTACAATGACTATTAAACTTATAAATTGATTTGTGTTGTATAACAGTGCTTCGCTGAGGCAAATATAAGGTAAATTTGGTTTTTGATATTTTGATGTATTTTTTTGTGTCTGTTCAAGTGGATTCGAGAACGGTTTAGATTTACAATTAGATTTTTTTATGTTTAAAATGAAACATGACAACGTCTTATTGCATTTTTTGTGGTAATTGTCGTATTTATAAAACTAGCTGTTCCCTGCCACGCTTCGCTGTGGCACATTGTGATCGAATGGTTGTGAAATGAGAAACAAAACAAAGAAAACATTTCATTTAAGTTTAATTTTGCAATACTTGTGGAAGAAAATAATTAAAAAAAAACAATACTTGATGCGGAATATATATAATGCTCAAATTTCAGCTCGATCGGTGCAGAACTTTTTGAGTTTTTAAAGCGTACACAAACGAAAGAAAATTACTCAAATATTTATTAGTACCAGACACATAGAATCAAACATTGTTATTCAAACTATAATTTAATGTATTACTTAAGTAAACTAATATAAAATATGATCGTTTTCTTAATCTATAGACAAAAGCAAACGTAAGTTAAAGTTTTAAAATACCTTAAGGCAAAGAAAAAACAATTTATTGTTTACATTATCAAGTTTTATATAATAACAAAATATCATGTGATTATAATTTTACATAACGTTTAAGAATTAGTAAACGCTCTCTTAACATTGTCATTCGTATAATTTTCAACCAGCTAATACAAAATTCATCAATTATTTGTCCAAGGCTCCAATGTAATGTTTAAATTTAAATCGCGATACAAAAATCAATCCCCCAACTTGTGTGTATTAGAGTCAGTTAAATGTGGGGTGAGTGCAAGTGACGGAGAGGGATAGTACAGACCAAATGCATTTTTAAATTCACAAAAACATTGAAATGAAAACTTGCCTTTGGAAATTAATATTAAGTTAACCAAAATTTTTTTTGTAAAGAATGCTTCTATTATAACTATTTAATACTAAGTAGCATCCTGTTAGTGATTTAAACATAATTATGGTAAAAGGTGCTAAGATGTTATATATGTTAAGGTTAGTTATTATCTGTTCAATAGTTTGTTTATGACACGGGTATAGCATGTGTGTTGACTATTTATTATAATAAGTTGTGGTTGAGTAATAGTGATAGTAGTTTCGATTAATAATTAACTGTGTAACAGTTTTGTATACAATTAATTAAAATGATTATGCCAATAAACGTTTTAATAATATATATTAATATCTTATTCAAACACAAATATTAAGATTTGTCTGTAGGTATCAATAGTTTTGAAGGGCTGTCTTTTAGTTAAATAATTACGCTAATAGCTATATTCGGTAGGTATTGTTTTAAATTGTGTGAAAGTTAATAACTCAGACTCTCAGATACCTGGGAACTTAACATTGAGAATTTTGCACTGCATTTTCTACAAATATATATTTGTTCTTTATAAAATTTATTAAAAATGGTTAACGAACCTAGGTATATTACGAAGTTCTGAATTCGATTTTCAGCTAAATTATGATTGTTTTGGGCTCATAGTTATTGCAGTAAAGTAAACGCGTGTGCGTTATGGACGAGATACGGGACTAGACGGACAAGAATCAAAACTATATTTTATTAATTCTTATATAACATAAATAGAAAACCAAGTCGTTATTTATTTGTTACCTGAACTAACAACGCTGGGCCATTACAAAACTAAACTATAATCTTATCATCTTTACAGATGGTATGATATTCGAAAAAATATTTGGACAAAGAAAGCATTGTCTTTGTTATTTTAGTAAACACAGTTAATTTGCTACAGTCATCTTAAAAAATTTAGAGGTCTCTGTAACGATATTACTCTATGATAAACAATGCTCGTTAGAAAAATCCATAGACAAAATATTCATTACCCTCTCTTAATACACCAGTGAAAATTGTTGACCTTGAATCTCCAAATGCGGGGGTTATCAAATATACATTTCACTAGATTTTCCCCGCGGCTTTACAAATGAATTCAGTACACAATCCTCAAAAATTGGCCTCTCCAAAACAAAAATATGTTTGCAATTCGAGTCAGTTACTCTTCCGTTATATCTTAAGTATAGATTGCCATAGTATATACAATGTAATTATCTGGGCAGTGTTGGCCTTGATCGTGTGACTCTCGTCCCTTCGTACCCCGGCTGTGCCCCAATGGGCTTTTCATTCTATATGTGCATTTCACGCTAGTAGAAGGTACACATCGTAAGGGAATCCGCAACCTTAGATCTTAAAGACAGCGTGTGTCACCAACAGAAGGCTCATTTGTTGCCTATTAAGAAAAAGATAACGAAATAGATACAGAAATCTGAGGCCCAGACCTAAAAGAAAGTTTTTTGTGTTTTTAGTGTTGCGTAGTACAGTAGGTACATATCTTCTAAAACATATACCTAATTATATATTCCTATCAATCTGTAATTGTTACTATAGATCAACACATTTTATGTTTTTTTTTTCATGTACATTGTTTTGTACGATGTAAACATTTCGACAAAATAATAATTTTATCAGAATGTATCAAGAAATGACATACTCGTATCAGAGTGAAAGGACACATTACACCGAAAAGGTAAAAATAAAACAGGTATGTATTAATTTTGGTTACTTTGATTTAAATTCGTAGAAAAAACAAAAGTCTTGTGCATTTATTGCAATAGTGCTAAGTTTTCAATTTCTAGTATTTGCACAAATGCGTGGTTTGTGTTTACAGGACTCATAAATTAAATATTATGCAGCCTTTGATGTCATTCGGCCACTTAGATCTCTAAGCGTTGGAAGAGGTCGTCTTGGAAAAATATTCTCCGTTTCTAGTGAAGTGGGTGTCAACTTTTGTAAATGTAGTATATAGCAGGAATTGAAGGTTTTGTCTATAGTCTATACTCTATACGAAAGTCCAAGGTCCAGTCCTATTTCTACCGAACGTGGCAGTTTTTTGATGTTTAAAATAAGGACGACATTTTTAATCTTTTTTATTGTTTATATGCAGCTCATGTTAGAATTGTATTAATTATTAAATATACTAAAATCAACTACTAGAAGTGGATATAACTTGTTAAAAGTTCAATCGAAGATAGATAACCTTATTGAAATCGTTATTCCGATATTTTCTTTAGAAGTGTCATTGTCAAATAAATAAAAAACTAATATTAAGGATATATAACACAATGTTTTACATTTTGTTATATAAGGTATTTATAATTACTCATGCATCAAATTGTCTCATCAAAGCACCCTACGCAAAAAGAAAAGATAAACTTATTTCATGAGAGGCACAGACAAAAAACAAAAATAAGTACAGGATTTTGATAGAAAAATCAGGTGTATTATATTAACAGGTAAATTTCTATTTTATAATATCAACATTGGTGTAAATTAAACAAGAAAATATTGATTTAAATATAAGCTAAGAAATAGATTACATAAATATGAAGATACGAATATAACGGCGAAACAAAAAAAATATATTTTTGAGTTAATTTGCCAAATAAATTATAGGGATTATTTCATCACGTGAAAAATAAGAGCAAGAAACGAAAGTTATATTTTGTGGTTATAATATTATTAAAAAAAAAAGATTGTTGTATTACTTCTAATGTAACTTACATATTACTATAAGATAATGTTAGACAATTGTTTCGTCATAAAATTTCGTACCATTATTTTTTTTATATATCAAAATCTATAATAAACTATTAGATTTTTGAAGTTATACTTCTTTCAGCGCGTTATGAAAAATTTATGAGAGTGAAATTTTACGATGCGCGTGCAGCGTGACACAAAATTAACAAAATGAAGTTGCCCACGGAAGATGCTACGGCATTGGACATAATTTAAAAACAACATTCGAATAATAATAGAATTTATGTTACACTTAATGTAAGAGAATAATAATTAATATTTATTTATTTAATTTTTCAAATGTAAACTGAACTTTATTGACTATAATGACTCCTTTTCCAGTCTTTGATTATTTAATTGTAATTAATTATTTGCATGCAATCAAAAACTATTTTTAATAATGCCAAAGAAGTATTACGCGCGTACATAAGTACACGCAAATTTTTTTTTTATCTACATTAAACTATACTGAGATTATCTGTATCAACTAAGTTAAATCGTAAAATAGAACTTTGTTCCGCTGAATGAATTAAAAATTCCGAGTTAATTACAAACAAAATTA